AAGTGCTTCCAGAAACTCGAAAGTGCTTCCAGAAAGTCGAAAGTGCTTCCAGAAACTCGAAAGTGTTCCCAGAAACTCGAAAGTGCTTCCAGAAAGTCGAAAGTGCTTCCAGAAACTCGAAAGTGCTTCCAGAAACTCGAAAGTGCTTCCAGAAACTCGAAAGTGCTCCCAGAAACTCGAAAGTGCTTCCAGAAAGTCGAGAGTGCTTCCAGAAAGTCGAAAGTGCTTCCAGAAAGTCGAAAGTGCTTCCAGAAACTCGAAAGTGCTTCCAGAAAGTCGAAAGTGCTTCCAGAAACTCGAAAGTGCTTCCAGAAACTCGAAAGTGCTTCCAGGAAGTCGAGAGTGCTTCCAGAAAGTCGAAAGTGCTTCCAGAAAGTCGAAAGTGCTTCCAGAAAGTCGAGAGTGCTTCCAGAAACTCGAAAGTGCTTCCAGAAAGTCGAAAGTGCTTCCAGAAACTCGAAAGTGCTTCCAGAAACTCGAAAGTGCTTCCAGAAAGTCGGGAGTGCTTCCAGAAACTCGAAAGTGCTTCCAGAAACTCGAAAGTGCTTCCAGAAAGTCGAAAGTGCTTCCAGAAACTCGAAAGTGCTTCCAGAAAGTCGGGAGTGCTTCCAGAAACTCGAAAGTGCTTCCAGAAACTCGAAAGTGCTTCCAGAAAGTCGAAAGTGCTTCCAGAAACTCGAAAGTGCTTCCAGAAAGTCGGGAGTGCTTCCAGAAACTCGAAAGTGCTTCCAGAAACTCGAAAGTGCTTCCAGAAAGTCGAAAGTGCTTCCAGAAAGTCGGGAGTGCTTCCAGAAAGTCGAAAGTGCTTCCAGGAAGTCGAAAGTGCTTCCAGAAACTCGAAAGTGCTTCCAGAAACTCGAAAGTGCTTCCAGAAAGTCGGGAGTGCTTCCAGAAACTCGAAAGTGCTTCCAGAAAGTCGAAAGTGCTTCCAGAAAGTCGAAAGTGCTTCCAGAAACTCGAAAGTGCTTCCAGAAAGTCGAAAGTGCTTCCAGAAAGTCGAAAGTGCTTCCAGAAACTCGAAAGTGCTTCCAGAAACTCGAAAGTGCTTCCAGAAAGTCGAAAGTGCTTCCAGAAAGTCGAAAGTGCTTCCAGAAACTCGAAAGTGCTTCCAGAAAGTCGGGAGTGCTTCCAGAAAGTCGAGAGTGCTTCCAGAAACTCGAAAGTGCTTCCAGAAACTCGAAAGTGCTTCCAGAAAGTCGAAAGTGCTTCCAGAAAGTCGAAAGTGCTTCCAGAAAGTCGGGAGTGCTTCCAGAAACTCGAAAGTGCTTCCAGAAACTCGAAAGTGCTTCCAGAAAGTCGAAAGTGCTTCCAGAAACTCGAAAGTGCTTCCAGAAAGTCGAAAGTGCTTCCAGAAAGTCGAAAGTGCTTCCAGAAAGTCGAAAGTGCTTCCAGAAACTCGAAAGTGCTTCCAGAAACTCGAAAGTGCTTCCAGAAAGTCGAAAGTGCTTCCAGAAAGTCGGAAGTGCTTC